ATGTTTATCTGCTTACCCCCAGGGCATCCAAGATGTAGGTGACTTTGCTTCTTCAGTAGAACACAAACGGAGATTTTTAACTCAAACCGTTGCAGTCTGTCAGTCCTATAATGTCAGTGGATGGGAATCAAGGCTTTGAGAGTCAAAAAAAACATACACAAACAAAACCCAATTAAACCCTGCGGCTTGTGATGATACAGGGCTGTATTGTACATATATGTCGCACGTGTTACGAAAAAACTGGTCTGTGCGATGAATAAATGTATCCCTGTAGCACGCGTGCAATACAGTTTTGCATGTTCATAACACAGCCGCTTAATAGTGTGAAGTGATACTTGGTAGTTAGGGGTGTGCGATATGACGATTTTTGATCATGGACGATTAAAATGTCTCCACGATCTGCTTTTGAAGAAGTATCGTTGTATCGTGCTACAGCGCACATTCTAGCAGCTGCAGTTCTGGCGCCTCCCTCCGTCTCAATATAATGTACAACGCCACATGCATTGCATTCACATCAGTTAGTTACTCTCACGGGACACTGCACTTATGCACAATCACAAAACTACATTATTTCCATCTGCTTTAAAGCAATACCGGTTAAACATTTAATTCACATGCTGTTCTGCATGCGCTTTTTCTGAGCGCGTACTCACACTGAGAGCCTGTCAAAAAGCGCCTGATTATTGGACTAAGTTGTCTTTCGCGTCTGATTGATTTTGCGTCTAATACTGTCAAAAACACACAAGGATTACATATAAACACAGTTGGTTATGTCTAAAATGAATGTAAACAGTTGAGAGAGAAATGCATAAAGCTCTTAAAGGGACAGTAGCTACTAAACATGCTGCCGTCTGTCATTAAAGGGATAGTTCACCCAAAAAAGTCATTATTTACTCACTCACATTTTGTCCCAAACCTGTATTAATTTCTTTCTTGTGCTGAACAAAAAAAGAAGATATTTTGAAGAATGTGAGTAACCAAATAGTAGCTGGTCCACACTGACTTTTACAGTAGGAATAAAATACCATGTAAGTCACTGTGGACCAGCAACTGCTTGGTTACCCACATTCTTCAAAAATAACTTTTATGTTCAACAGACGAAATAAAGTAATTCAGATTTAAAACAACTTGAGTAAATGATGGTATAAAAATGAAACACTATTGAAAGACAGATGATCTTTTAATGTTAATAAAACAACAAAACACAGAAAAAAAATCACTCACTGCTCTTGACTGATCTTATCATCTTATCAACTTATCATCAGTCAGTTGCTTTTAAAAAAAAAGTATAATTGATGTATATAGTGTTTTATTTTAATATTTGTTCATTCGATTTCTTGAATGCTACTGCTAAATACTGTACCTGAAAAATAAAACATTTGTTTTATTTGTATATTATGTGTATTTGTAATGTATATCTTTGTTCTTATTTTCTAATAACAAAGATCAAATAATGACAAAGATTTTTATCTTTGCTAACTTTGCCTAAATGTCTGCCAAAATGAAATCTACCAAAATGATATTGTCTGTCAGTAAACAAACAAAAACAAATCATAACATAATTCCAGTTGTATTCCAGAGAGCCAAACAATAAATAATATAACAAATTATGCTACAGTATTTCTAATACTCATGTTACACATGTTTTGAATGTGCTCCCATCATGCTGTCTATTCAACACAAATCTCACATGCCAAATATCTGTTGATCATATTTAATAAAGATTGTGCTCAGTCCACCTTAAAGGGCCATTTTGAGCAAGAGGATGATTTCCGTCGCATTGATGTGCTTTATAAGAATGCACCCTAAATAGTATGTTTCTTCGCCTTTCTTGGGTTTTGCTTCTCCTAAAGTCATCAAAGTAACCTTCACGATCGGTCTACTATATACTATAAACTTTGATGAAAAAGAATGCAGTATCTGCTTCAGAAAGGTTTTTCACGGGTTTCATGCCAGTCACGTCCTTTGACCCTGGGAGTGAATACATCTGTGGTACATTTTCTATCTGTCTACTGTAACTTGATGCTGTGTGTTTTATGAGTTTGGAGTTGTATTCTTATTGAGCCAAAGGTGATTTATGTAACGTGTTCGTTCTGACCCTGGTCATAGCATCTGCATACATGCATTAATAGAATTTATGAAATGTCGTACTTTGTGCAGAGATGTTCTGGAAACAAAGGAGCCAAGCTGAATTATATGAGAGCCAGCCTAATTGAGTTCAGCTCCTTTGGTCAGTGTCAAGGTTGCGCGCACGTGACTGAATTTACCGTTGGGTCGGCAGGGGCGCACATGACTACACATACAATTGACGTTTCGTTTATTCATGCAAATCCATCAAAGGGAAACTAAATATTCTTACACTTGCTCCCAGAATCCTTTAAAGTACATGGACGTGAAAACGAAATCAAGGATATGGATGTATGAAGACATTGAGGGAGAGGATGAGGGTGAAGATGAAGATGTCATTGTTGAGATCTGAATAGCCCTGTGCTGATGTAAATGAAGAAGGAAGCCTGTATGAAAAGTAGCGTGAGCTTTTGCATATGCATCAATGCAGATCAAAGGCTTGTCAGGGGTCATGCATTAACATAGAGATATCAGTGATGCTATGGGAACCCGGCAAACGGGCGCTCAGTCCACTTATGAATAGAGAGCCCTGACCCGGTCCTTCAGCGCCATTAGAAAAGAAGTCAAGGAAGTTTATTTGGCCACTCGCCCCATCTGAGGGGAAATGATGTTCTTCAAGGTTTGGTTAGGTAACTGTCAAAGAAAAGATGACGTTTTGGTGAGAGATGATGACTTCCTGGAGCATTTTGTGTGTTGTGGCTGATTTAATGAATTGATGTTGAACGATGAAAAATGTGTTTCTGATTGTTTGATATGGTTCAAACATTTTTATGTTGTGCTTTTATGTTGTGAAGTCTTGTTTATTTATTTTTTTCATTTCTTACAGGAAGACTGCAAAAAGTAAAGCTTTCTCTGCTGTCCAGTCAAAGGGTAAGACCTCTGTACAAATGACTAAAACTTGTTAAAAACATGCAGTGCCTGGTGTTAAATGCAGATGCCAGCTCATTGTGCACATATCTCTTTATTGTAATGCTTATGTTCCACAATTAAAATACACTAGTACTCAAAACACTGCCGGTCAGAAGTTTGGAATAATTAAGCGTTTTAAATGTTTCTGAAAGAAGTCTCTTATGCTCACTTAAACTGCATTTATTTAATCAATAATACAGTAAAAACAGTAATATTATAAGATATTATCAAAATTTAAAAGAGCTGTTTACTGTTTTGAATATATTTTAAAGGGGTCATATGATGTTGCTAAACAGAACATTATTTGGTGTAATGAAATGTGTTTATGCTGTTTAAGGTTCAAAAAACACATTATTTTCCACATACTGTACATTATTGTTTCTCTTCTATGCCCCGCCTTTCTGAAACGCATCGATTTGTACAAAGCTCATCGGTCTGAAAAGCGAGGTGTGCTCTGATTGGCCAGCTATCCAGTGCGTTGTGATTGGCCGAATACCTCAAGCACGTGACGGAAATGTTACGCCCCTTACCATACTGTGATGGAGCGACGAGTCAAAAACATTAAAACCTGTGAAACGGTGAAAGCTGATCCGGCGATCCACAGCGCAAAGTTGATGTATTTCCTCAGCGACCAGCACGGATCAGCTCTAGGCATGACGAAGCGGATATCTTCCTCTTTTGGAAGGCCAAACAAAGTAGTTTCGCTTTCACAACAATACACACAGCGCCTTCACGACATGGCGGCGGCAACAATACTACAGCGAGAATAAAAGTTACGCCTTCTTTCTTTGCGTGAACATTTGGACAGCGTTATGCAAATCTTCCCACATAGTGACGTAGACATGTGGGGGCGTGTTAGAACGAGCCGTTTTAGGTAGGTGTGGCTGACTCTTAACTTTTATAAAGAATATCTCTTTGGATTTGAGACTTTAGTCTTTGCAACTTTACAGATCTTCTTTATGCACCAAGAGCTTGTAACACTCCAAAAAGAAAAGAAAAATTGAAATCGCATCATACGACCCCTTTAAAAATGTAAGATGAATTTTCAGCAGCCATTACTCTTTAGTGTCTCCTTCAGAAAACATTATTATTAATATTTCTTATTATTATCCATATTGAAAACAGTTTTTGCTGCTTAATACTTTTTTTGTGGAAACTGTGATACTTTTATTTCAGGATGCTTTAATGAAATGAACAGCATGTACTTGAAATAGAAATCCTTTTTAACATTATGAATTCATTCAAAGGTTTGGGTTATCATGGTTTCCACAAAAATATGAAGCAGCGCAACTGTTTTCAACTTTGATGATAATAATAAATGTTACTTGAGCAGCAAATTTAAGCATATTAGAATGATTTCTGAAGGATCATGTGACACTGAAGACTGGAGTAATGATGCTGAAAATTCAGCTTTGATTACATTTTAAAGATTACAATAGAAATCAGGCATTTTCAATTCTAATAACATTTAACAATTACTGATTTTACTGGATTTGTATGCATGCATGTTGTATGTGTGTATTTATTTATTTATTTTCTCTGGAATCATTTTTTATATTTTTTACTTTCATCATTTTATATCATGTTCATGGGCTAATTTCTCTCTGCCCCTTATTGCAACAGAATGTTAATGATGTACGCATATATTTTTGATTGCAGCATTTTGGGGAGAATCAGATGACAGCAATTCTGAGATCGAAATGGCCTTGCGTCCTCAGTCCCGCAACACCAGCAGCCATGACTTTGATGATTTTTATGATTAACATTTCTCTTTTTAGACTTTTTTTTGTTTGTTTTTTTTCAATGAGCAGTTAATATGTTTGAAAGAGATACCTTTATACGATTGCAAAACAAACAAAAATCTTCACTGAGGAATGAGTGCGACATTCCACGAAAACAAAAAAGAGCCATCCTCTTTATTGTGGCCAAAGACTGTGAAGGGTTTTCAAAACATGCCGGTGTTAACCCTGCTTGAATCTCTTTAGCTGAACAACACTTGGACCTGGTTGAAACAGATTAAACTTGGTTTTTAAAGTGATTCCTTTGCGCTGTGTTGAATATTACGCATTTTAGATGTTGCAGGTATCTGGCGGTGAGTTGGAGTGGAATGCTCTGAGTCAACTCCTATGAAAAGCCAGTGCACAATGGCCACTCTGCATGCTGCTGAAACACCTTTGAACTCACTCAAGTACCCCTGGCCCATTTAGGAGAACAAAATACATTGTGCTCATCTCAATATAGAAACAAACGCTCTCTGTATTTGTGGCGGTAGAAAAGCGATTCCGTCAGCCGAACGTGATGTGTCTCCTCAACTGACGAAATGCACGGTGCAATGTCCACTTCAGAATTCGTCTGTTTTGCAAATGTGCACACATTTTTATGCTCTCTGGCTGATTCTTGTGGGATTTCAAGTTACATTTTATACATTTACGTCTGAGTTACTGTACAACATGTGACGTGCTTGCTTCAATTCATTGTTATAATATGCCCCTCTAATGGCTATTTTTAGACTCCACATGATAGTTAAAATTACAGATAATTATAATTAGGCATTGAAAAGAGCACTGATCAAACACAGCAATATCATTACAGTAATAATGGTTATTTTTCCAAAACAGCCAATCAGTGATAACGACCGTAACCCTTTTCCTAATGGACCTGAAAATAACATTGCGCACTAAAATTGCTGTGCACGGATTTCCAGAACTGTTTCCCAGCCATCAATAATCTACATCGCCCGTGACGGGGGATTGTCATTTTGTCTGTGACTCCGAGTTCATTTGGTTTCATCATATTTAACATGCACGGAGGCATGTTATTCTGTAATGATACCAAACCTGCAGCATTCTATCCATCAGTATGATTCCATTAGTTGGCTTTTAAGTAACTTTATGAGGCCGAACCTGCTAGAGTAGGACTCCACACTCATTAGCTGTAATGGCTGCAGCCAGCCTTGACCCGCACGCGTCGAAACGCGCCTGCATAATTTGGAGATTGCTAAAAAGCTCCCCTCACATAATATCTGTGTTAAGGATCATGTCAACAGATACTTGTGTGATGGAGGAAGCTCTGTGAGAGAGTTACATTTTGCCGGCCTGTAACAACACCATAAACGCTTTTTAAAGGAACCGCCTTCTGGATGTGCTAATAAAAAAAAAAAAAAAGTCAAACCCGGAGTGCGACTTTCAAATGATGTCGCATCAAAACACAGAAAATATTTTGCTTAAAATGAAACCATGCCAAGATTTCTTTTGCAAAAATGTGTGTACGGCGCCACTTTATAAGCATGCACGATGGTCTCCCAGCAGGGAAGGTCATTAAAGCATTCAGATTCAAAGACATTCTCGAATTAAATCATCTGTTTAATGGCATAAAAGTGCCTGATTTCAAGGCTCAGTTAGGATGTCCGTTGCTGAATCTCCATTCATTTGAGGAGTAAAATCAGTCAAATCTACATGTTTAAGTCTTTTCTTATTTTATTAAGAAAGTCTGTGTTATTATCTAGCTATTATCAGTATTATGCATGGTACGTGTGCAACATCATGTCATGCGGTACATTTCAAACCACTTTTACTCATACCCTACAAAACTGCTTTCTTTAATCTAATCTATACTATTATTAATAATAAAGTTGTTATTATTAACAATAATGATTTAGTGGTACTTTAAAAACGGTTGTGCTGTTTAATTAAGTGCGGAGTCTGAGTTTTTATAAATGTCTTATTGCCATTTTTGAATGATGTTATGCATCCTTGCTGAATAAAAGTATCCTTCAAAAAAAGTTTATATTTATATATATACTGTATGTGTGTGTGTGTGTGTGTGTGTGACCCTGGACCACAAAACCAGTCATAAGTGTAAATTTTTCAAAATGTATACATCATCTGAAAGCTGACAAAATAAGCTTTCCATTGATGTATGGTTTGTTAGGATAGGACAATATTTGGTACAGCTATAGATACAGCTATACAGATGAAAATCTGGAATCTGAGGGTGCAAAAGTATCAAAATATTGAGAAAATCATCTTTAAAGTTGTCCAAATGAAGTTCTTAGCAATGCATATTACTAATCAAAAATTAAGTTTTGATATATTTACAGTAGGACATTTACAAAATATCTTCATGGAACATGATCTTTACTTAATATCCTAATGATTTTTGGCATAAAAGAAAAATCAATAATTTTGACCCGTACAATGTATTTTTGGCTATTGCTACAAATATACCCCAGCGACTTAACACTGCTTTTGTGCTCGCTTCGGGCATCTAAGCTAAGCTTGTGTTCTGGCGATGAATGATATACGCAGCGAAGGCCAGACATGCCTGTTTTTGTTACAGGAACAATCTCAGACAATAAAAGAAAGAAAGATCTAGATGAAAGCAAGTAGGGAAGTTAAACACTCTCATTAACAATGATATGCCAGCATTTTGCTATTTGCATATCGCATGTTTGTGTAATTTATTCACGCTTATTCGACAAGTTGAAGTTTCAAGTGTGTCCCTTCCACTCTCCCCCATCCACTTTTATTTTTTATCAGGGAATAATGATTTAAAACAAGGTCATTTGATCTTCTTTTTCAATAGACCTTAATGAAATATTCATTTACTCGCCTGTGGTTTCTCTGACAGCGTTTCTGAGGATGTTCAGTGAAGACACAAAGGCTGTGCTTTTCATCTTTCAAGCCCACGTTTCACGTTTTGATTCATAGAGATATAGATCATTATATATTCATAATGTATTCAAAACATTTTATCATATTAATTTAGCTTTAAATGTCAAGATGATTTTTGTTCAAGGTCTCGGCTATCATAATTAACATTAGTTCTTCAGTCCACTGTAAACTGTCAGCTTGTTTAACTGGAGACTTTGTTGGATGTTGAATTGAAGTGGTTAAAATGTTTGTGGCTTCGGGCATCTAAGCTAAGCTTGTGTTCTGGCGATGAATGATATACGCAGCGAAGGCCAGACATGTCTGTTTTTGTTACAGGAACAATCTCAGACAATAAAAGAAAGGAAGACCTAGATGAAAGCAAGTAGGGAAGTTAAACACTCTCATTAACAATGATATGCCAGCATTTTGCTATTTGCATATCGCATGTTTGTGTAATTTATTCACGCTTATTCGACAAGTTGAAGTTTCAAGTGTGTCCCTTCCACTCTCCCCCATCCACTTTTATTTTTTATCAGGGAATAATGATTTAAAACAAGGTCATTTGATCTTCTTTTTCAATAGACCTTAATGAAATATTCATTTACTCGCCTGTGGTTTCTCTGACCGCGTTTCTGAGGATGTTCAGTGAAGACACAAAGGCTGTGCTTTTCATCTTTCAAGCCCACGTTTCACGTTTTGATTCATAGAGATATAGATCATTAAACCTCCGTTTAGTTTACCTGGTTTTATTGGTGTCCAAGCAAAACCATTGTATAATATGCAAACAGGACTTGTGGGTTGGGGGAATGTGGGCTGTGCACAAAACGGAGTCTTTTTCTTAGGATTTGAAAGTTTTGAGTTTTTGCTTAGTTTTGATTTCCATATTAGGTACCATGACGCATATTCATTATGTTTGAGTGCCCTATTTTGACCATGTCATTTAAATAATACATTAAAAATAATCAAACCACACGGTAACACACGGCACTAAAATAATACAATAAACATGAACATAAAACTCTAATGTACATAAATAGGAAAAAAATAAGAACCTTTAAAAAAAACATCAAATGTGGAGTGTCAGTTTGTTTTTTTCACTGTAAATTATACAATGATATTCTTTTTCATTTCCAAAAACTGCAAATATAACCGTATTTTAATGTAAAGTTAAATAGTTTGATCTAATACAGTTATTCACCAAAACTTAGTTAAACTATTAAGTTTTTGTTTATTTTTACAGCATGTCTTTTACCATTAAAATCACAATTACATTTTTTACAATGTATCTATAGATGCATATTTTAAAACATAGTGTCCATGGCTTTCTCACCAACTTTTTTGGTGACCGAAAAGTAAATGCCTAATGCCCCATGCTACAGTTACATGCTCTATGACCGAAAACATTCATATGAGGCTCCTGTAAAAATGAATTTCTGTACGAAATAATATTTTTGTACAAATCTGACGTAGTTGCATGTAGGCCGTGTATATACAACAGTAATCTGTGATGCTAGACTTCAAGGCTCAAGGTGAGTTATAGGCAATGTATAGATGAGAGCACACAGCGTTGTGGGCAAAAGAACCCTCAGCATCGCTCTAGACTCTCTGGGCCTTTCCATCTAATGCACAAAATCAAATTATAATTAACCACATTTAAGTTGGAGCAGCAAGTCCCTCCTTATAGGTTTCCTGTGATCTCTGCCTCTTTTTTCCGCTTCATGCCCATGGAGTAATTAATATGGTAAGACATCATGTTCGGTGAATTCCTTTGAGATGGGTTTGCGAAAGCTGTTAAAGCCGAGAGGCTGAATTAGTATGCATGCCGATTTTCTCGCTACTAGTCCCCTCTCCCATTGGGACAGAGGGCTAGATTGGGTAGACAGACAACGTTCATCCTTGATTATGTGAGCCGAATGCCTCCCGGCTGCATGAGTGGAGCAGGAAAAGGGCTGTTCCTTGGGCAGCAAATCAGTTTCTGTGATCTGCTAAATGGAACAACAGCAGTGTGATACTTTAACCCCACACATCAGGGCACAGAAATAAATAAAGGTGCACGCTGAGTTAGGATGATTACTGGCCATTACCCTATAGTCTGGATTTCTCCATCAGTTGCCAACCATTTACATATGCCATGATTGTGCAGTGGCATTAATGTACTGGTCATATCTCAACTAACATGAACTCCAAATCCAGCAATTGTTCAGAACTACTGTAAAACAGCCAGACAGGTTTTGTTTTGCTGATAATTGGTGCTGAATATCCTTCTTTTTTTCCTTTTTCTGAACAACCAACGAGTGCCGCCATGACGGATTCTAACTTCCATTTAACTTTTCTGGTCTCCATAGGAAACCATGTTTACACTGGGCAAGAAGAGCAACTTAATTATTTAAAAAGAAGCATTTGGAAAAATAAAAATGTGGACAAAGTCTGTCAAAAGCTGCATGTAGGATATTAACGCCCACCTGTTATCAATGTAGTTAGCCTCAGACCGCTTCATGTCATCTACCCACTCATTAAACTTTGACAGGTGAGGCACTGCCAAAAGACAAAAATCATGGCAAGTGTCAGCACTACATTCTTAAAAATATAGGTTCTTTATTGGCATCTTTGATTGCATGAAAAGCCTTTAACATCTATGGAATCTTTCCATTCTACAAAAGGTTCTTTATATTTTTTTTAATATTCTTCACACTTAGTAAAATAACTGAAAGGTGCTTCGGGGAATCAGAAGTTGTTCTTTTATAGCATTGCTGCAAAAACCTCTTTTTGAAACCTTTATTTTTATAGCCATTTTTATTGGTTTAACATTCATTACCAGCTAGGAAATTAGGCTAATTTGACTAGAAGCACAGAAGACCAGAAATGTAAAACCGTTTTCCGTTATGAGTCAGGCAAGACTTCCGCATTGTTGACATAATGTGTTGCACATGTTTTTGCTCAGCCACTGTTCTCATCTGTTCTCTTTTTTCCGTTTCAAAGACAGTTTTTAAGGGCCTTATGCTTTCTTCGCTCTGAATCTGTTGTGCACCCTCTTTTACCTGCTCTTGTCCAAGGGTGACCCTTCCCTCTTTTTAAGTAGCCCAGATTGTGAGCTTTGACTTCCCATTGGATAATTAACCCAACGCTGAGTCTTATTACAGCTGTCTGGCAATCTGGCACGAGGTAATTCACTGCTCCCTGAATGCAGGGCCAAAGCACTGGCACCTTATGCTCCATGATTGAAGACAATCTCTCGAGATGAACAGAATTAATCATCACAGATAAAAGAGAACTAGTTTTTCTTGCTTCTTTGGCTTCCACAACTATTGACTTCCCACTCCGCAGCTCTGCGTACAAACAGCATCGAAGGCTCAAAAGGGGTCACCTCTCGCAGTCACCCTATGTGCGGATGTGCTGTGTTTTTAACCTCTGCACTTCAAGCATTCAGGCGCAGTTCATAACCTGCCGTTACATCTGTAGCATTTCACTTCATCCCTCTTTGTCTGTCCTACCGCAGGGAATACAAATGTTTATAGACTGAAGGGTGCAGACTCCATCTGGGAAAGCAGAAGTCACATTACGGTAATCTCTGCCTGGATTAAATCTGTTGTTTATGGAGATGTTAACAAAGGTGATAAAACAAGATTAGCCAAGACACACAGAGCGGGGATTGTGGAGTGTGTTCTTATTAGCATGCACTGTGCTCTGGAGAAGAGAGCACGCTCAACTCTCCTCACGGGGAACAGGGTTCAGCCATTAGCATGAATAGGAAATGCTAATTTAAAGCCTCAGACACCTGCTCCTCAGCGGCGGTCCTAGCTATGCACTAGCTAGCTACTGACATAAATATATACACGGTACCACCATTGGGGAAGCTTCTTTGAAACCATTGCTTCTCCAAGCTACAAGCCAACCATCATTTGAAGAACTTAATCTACTAGAAAGCTACGCTTTTGGGAAGTAGCTACTTACCAACAAAAACTACTTACAAAAAGTAGCCAGTGAAGCTATTTAAGGGAACAATATTCAGTACAACATACAGTATATTTGCTATATACACATGGCCGGACTTACCATTGGGCTTGAGTGGGCTGCAGCCCATGGGCCC